AATGGAGGGGTGGGGTGGGGTGGGTTAGGCAGTCTGATAGCATCCCAAATTTGAAATTATACCATATAGTCACCCTAGAGACTATTATATGCTGCTTCTTAAGCTGTCTCACACCAGCCCAGTGAGACTGCTAGCACATCTTTGAGGTTCCCTGTTATCTCTACACATAGCAGTAGAAATTCCCTGATGTTGACCATAATGAGATTGGGTTAATTCGTAACTTTCCAGACTGGGAACTGTGACCCTAATTGCAGTTGTGGCACTTGCAGATGGGATCATGAGGCCCACAAACATTCAATTCTAGCACTTGGGCTTGTGTTAGAAAAGCTGATAACTGCACAAAAACATTGGGAACCACTGAGCTAGATCTTCAGTTGGGGTAAATAGGTGCACCTCACTGATATTAGTGGGCACTGGCCATTTTTCATGAAGTGAAAAAAAAGTCCATTTTCTGGAGATGTTTGTCAACATTCAGCACTTTTCAGAGTTTGGAGTAGTAGTAGTAGTAATCTCAAATTGCCATATAATCCTTTAATAAATAAAGACAGGACAACAGGGAGGGAATGATTGAAGGGAATGGCTGGGTTCTACAAGTATCAGCTCTTTCTGTTTTGTTTTGTTTTTTTAACAAAGTATCTTTGTCTTTACATTTCTAACCATATTTTACATGTGGGGCATATAAAATATTAATCTTTCTGTAAGATGATTTCTTTTGAAGGCCCTTTATGTATAAAAGATGGAAATCAGCAATACAGACCTCCCTCCCCTACTGTATTGAAGTCTGCAGATCTATTTGCAATGGAAATGCATAGCTGTCTTTGTAGTGCAGCAACCGTCCGTAGAAGGGGGGGGCCCATAGATTGCACTGTCCCTGAGAAGGTTGTTTTGTTGCACAAATGGGTCAGGTGATAGCTTTCCCCAAATTATTTTATATAAATATTGGTGAATTTGTTCTGTCAGGAACTGGCACAGACTGTCTGGGTGGGTCCCTCTCCCCCCCAAATCTCTCTCTGCTATGTAATTTTTCTTTTATCTTGATTCAGGAATCCTTGGAGGATGAAGGCTTTTGCATATTTCCATCTAGTCACTAATTATTCCTGTGTTAGCACTGGTTTGTGGTTTAGATGCTGCAGTATAGAAATGAAAGTCAACAACTGCCTGTTAGGGTTTGTTTTCATTTGTACTTATTTATAGCCCTATATTCATGTTTGCTTTTCTGCCCACTCCAGAATGACAGTGTCCCTGAGTTAAGGAATGTCCCTTTTCTCAAGGTTTATCCCAATGTCCCTGTCCCTTTGTATATTATTATTATTATGATTATTATTATTATTATTGTTTTATTTATTTTGGAAAAATGACAGGCTTTTCTCCCACTGTTTCCAAATCCTGTCAATTTCTGGTAATCCAGAAAGAGCCATCATCCAGTCAAGCCACTGAAATTGACAGCAAGATAAGTGAAAGCATATGTGCCTTGCTGACCAAATCTATCATCTGTTAACACCGTGACATGCCCTCCATGAGACTGCTCAGTGAAATCTCTGTACATAGAACTAGAATTCATAAAGAATCAAAAACTTATCCTGAATCCTAGCAGTGCTATGAAGTGCTCAGCCACATTACTAGCAACCACAGATGGCTGCTCACCTGAGCTAGCATTTGAATGAGTGTGTATGGCACAGTGAGAGGAGGGGAAGAAAAAGAAGAATAGACTGAAGGATAAAGTGAGAGAAGCAGAGGTTGAGCAGGAGAAAAAGAGCCTGATGAAAACTCAGAAGAGAAAATAAAAACATAGAAAATGAAAACAGAAGATCTAAAAAGTTTTAGGACTATAGTAGGATCACAACTTCTTTCTTCTTGTTTTTCCTTCCATCAGAATATTAAAAGTTAATAAAAATAGCAGCATCTGAAGATAACTATTTTAAAAAATACAGTAAATGGAATGGGATTCAAATAACTAGGGAAAAATGGGAACACAAAAAGGTATTTTTATTTAACCCATCTGTTACATTAACATGTTTGTTTTATTTTGAAGGGAAGAGGGGCACAGGATTTAAAGCTTGCTATTTAGCTGAGAAAGAAGTGGGGGTTGGGGGAAGGGAGGGAGTAAACATCCTTTCTTCCTTTCTACCCACATGGAGCTGCTAAAATCTTTGCCTGCACAGTTCTGGCACCTACTAATGCTACCATCTACAGCACCCTTATCACTGCTAGATGTGTTTTTGGTTTGAAATTGCAAGTATGGTCATCATACTGATTATTATACCATAATAGAGTCTTGGTCTATAGTAGGAAAAAGTCTTGAAAGATTGCTGTTTACATATTGCCATATTTACTCAACTACAAGATGAGGTTTTTCTTCCCCAATCAGCATGGGGGGAAAGGCCCCTCTTATATTCACATACAAGAAAACATCATTAAATACACTGTCTATCTACTAACTACTGCCAAAAGCAGCATTTGCTCAGTTATGGAAGCCAACTATGAAGCTGACTAAATGCAACAACACTTAGCATGACTGTAAAACATATGGCCTATATCGGGCAAACATACAGATGGGAACCTACGACAAGGAAAGGTTAATGCAACACATCTAAATATAATATATGGTAGTGCCCATTGCATGCAGTCCCTCTCAGCGCCAACTCTTTTTTCCAGTCATGGTGAGCCACAAAACTGAATACATCTCAACTTCCCCTTCATTCCCACAGCTGTCTGCACCTTTCTTTCCTATTTCCAATTGTTCTTGTTTCTTTACCAGCCTTAAATATTTGGCAAACATCACCAAACAGGTCCCACACAGTTCACCCAAAATCCCTCTGTTGCCTGCTCTTTCAGCCTGCTGCATGTGATTAGTGTGGCCCTGCCCTCCATGAGGTGGAGCCAGAATGGGTTGCCCTGCACCTCATTTGTGTATAAAATTTTGGAGTATCCCAGGACTTCTGACAAAAGCACCTCGTTCCAGTCATGAGTGGGTGGGGGGGGTGGAGTGGTAAGTAGTGCATGGACCCTTTGTGGGGATGGTATCTGGAGTACATACATACACCAGGCAGTGCTGAAATGTGGGATTAACATGGCTTCAAATGCTGTTGATTTTGCTGGGGCCCAGCCCAGTGAACTTTCTGGTAAATCATGAACGCTTTGGCTTTGAACTAATATCATGCAACATTTGTACTATATGTAAGTAGGTACAAAATTGCTCCTTAAAAGACTGTTTATGGCATATGTGTATTCAAAATTGCAGCAGTTTCAAAAAAGGTAAAATGCATCAATTCTGGATGAATTGCCTATACATAATTATGATTATTTAGGTATAATTATTTCAAGGTCATTGTTTTCAGATTTTTCCTTGTTTCTATGTGCTCAGGGTCTGACAGTAAGTAGAGGGGGAAAGGGCTTTAGGGGGAAGAAGAGGGGGAGCAGAGGGCAAAGGAGTCACCTGAGTCCATCCGCTGCCCCCCTCCCCCAGATTTATTTTCCCTGCTGTAGCAGTGAGAGGGGGACAAATTCAAGGGAAACCTCCAATAGTTAGATTATATACATGGACAATGATAACAAATTTATAATTTTTCCATGTGTAGAATCTAATTATTGGAGGGTCATCTTATATTCAAGTAAATACAATAACATAATCTAGTAGGTTTTAAAATACTTACCTTTTGTGAAAGATAAATAGGGTAAGTTTAGTTAGAAATTGTTTTTATGTGCTCAGATTGTCTTATTTCCAGGGCTCCGTCTCTTCCAAGATCTCCCAAAAAATTTTCTGTACATATCCATTTATCATTTCCTTTCCCTTTGAACACACCATGATCTACCATAGTTGGCATCAAAGTCTGTTTCACCCCATTAATGGTCTCCTACTATTCTTGCTATACATTCACTATACTGATCAGGTATAATGAAGTGGTATTTTATTTCAGATATGGTAACAGTAGTTGGACATTAACTTTTAATGGCAGCTAGTATGTGTGATATGTGTTTTCTTCAATTTTGTCCTTTCCAGTGTCATAAATGCCATTTAGTTTGAGGTATTGCTTCCTACAGTGGTCAGAATTCAGTCTTGATCCTTCTCACTGTGTTTGATAACGTTATCTTAAGGAGTCACTGAGTATTTAACAGAAATTGCACACTCATAGAACCTTATTCAAGTTTTTGTTTCCAGAGCAAATGTTAAATCATTGACATTCAGCTGGGTTTGAAATTTACCTGAATATGTTTTACCATCCCTATTCCCAACAGATTACACAATGGCTCTGATTAGCAGCAGCATTTTGTAATACCACTTAAGGCGTTATCACAGTGGAATACAGCCAGTAATAGTCTTTAATTCACTTATATGTACCAATTCATCTCTGTCAGGATTCTATTAATTTCTTCTCTGTTTTACTCTGTCCCTGTCCCCTATATAATGAGCCACGATGTCCCCCATTTATGTAGGAAAAAAATTAAATCTCAAGCAAATTGCTTCTGGTCCTTCTGTTTCAAACAAGTATGCCACCTTCACATTTATGTTCATGTTTAATCCACTTTTCACAACTTAATTTATTTAGAAGAAGCTGGGTGGGTCAAGTGGCCATAGAGGTAATAATCTTTTTATTGGCTAATTTGAATGAAAAGTTGGAAGACTTGGTTAGATATTTAAGCCTATGCTGTGTTGAGATGTAATAAAACTGTTAAGAGGCAGGGTGTGTGTGATCACAAGAGTGTGCAAGCACACAACAACCTCTCCACACAAACTCCTAGGAAAAATGTTACTTTCCATTCATCTTGGCAGAATGATAACTTTCCTTATCATGAAGATGCACGCTAGAGGAATGGAATAAAAAATCTCTGGATGCAGCTTGCAATTGCAGCTGATATTTGGCATTTGGCACTGTTGAAGGACTATGCAGATAATTTGCGTTCAGCATGGCAGAGAGGTGTCTTGGTAATTCTGCTTGATGAGTCAGTGCTTTACTGTTGCTACTGGAGTAAATTCAAGCTTTTCTTCTTTTCATTTTTAGGATTGGTGCAAAGCATCAGGAGTTACGGCAAAAACAGGCCAGAGGACTAGCTGATTACTGCACCAGCCCTGCAGGACCTGATATCGATGATGATGAGATGGACCCAAATTATGCCAGAGTAAATCATTTCAGGGAGGCTTACCCTGTAGCAAATGTCTATAGGCCATCATCCCCACTGGCAACAGAAACCTTTGGATACCCATGTGATGGCCCTCAAGTTCCAGTGGAGAGAGAGTACTTGGAAGGACTCTATGCAAAGATAAACAAGCATCATCATCCACAGGCTACTGCTGACAGGTAAAAATTCCCGTTTGTTGCTGAAACCAGTAACAGAGTCTCTGATTTTAATTTTTGTTTGCTTGTTTTGTTTGTCCAGACACCTGAAATACTGCATAGAAAACAATGGCTTTACTCTGGATTTACACCACTTAAACTGAAAAACAGAATTTGCTCCAGTAGTACCCCTAAAGCATCCATACAAAGCAGCAGTGAAATAGAAAGGTCCATGTTTCACAAGCAGAATGAATGAACTGCCTCCAATCCAATTCCTGTGCAGCTGAAAGAGTGCTTTTTTTTTTCTTTCAGCCAGGAAAAGTTCATATTTTGCAGCAAGAATGGCTCTTTTTTCAGATCCCTCTTGGTTCTGCTGATCACCAAATGCCTATTAGTAACAGGTTTTTTATGATAGTTTGATATATTGCATATGTTTACAGTTTACATTTCCCCAGCTGTGTGATATTATGCACTTTCAATTAGGTTGGGGAGAGGACTGGGAATCATAGCATTTTTATGCAGACTGTAAAGTGTGGCTTCACAAGACTGATTACCTTTCACAGCCTTTCCAATAACCAAGTGGGAAGGAAGGAGCAATTTTTAATCCTTGCTGTCAAGTTTCCAGGTTGATGGCATTAAAGAAAGATGGTCAAGTTTTTCTTTGAGTTAAAAAGAAAACAGAAATTCCTATGATTTGGTGATTCAGCCAGCACCATGAGGTTTCTAAAACAGGTTGCCTCTGGAGTTAGGGGCTATAAGAAATATAAGGTTTCATTAGTGTCATGGTGTTAATAAATGTACATGGGATTTTTATGGCCAATATGTGCCTGAGCAAGCAAGATGGATGAGTGGACATAAAAAGAGGAATTGGAAATACGAGGTGGAAGAAGGGCTTAAGAAGTGCTGGAGCATGAAACTTGTATTGTGGCCTGTAATGTACTTCCTCGCTGCCTCTTTCTGTGCTGCAAATGCCTTGTATTATGCCAGATATATTGAGAGGGCTGTATGAGCTCTGATATGGGAGTGTTTTCAAAAGCTGGAATCAATTTTAGACATGTATATTGTGTCATTGTTATAAATGCTAATAGGAAGTTTGTGACACGACCAGATGTATAAATATTTAGGAAGGGATATGTCAATTTCTCATTTTCATCTGAATACAGTGTTGGAGAGCTCTCTTCATCAGATAGTCAAGAAAAATTTACAAAAAAGTGCTTGCTTTAATTGCATACCATCAAACACAAACCTCCTCACACCAAGGTCTGGCAGCGGCAGCTTGTCAGCTTCATGCCAGCTAAGGGTTCCACCAGATAAGGAAATCCAGATAGTTTACAGTCTGTTCTGGTTACTGGAGTGGCATAAATACTCATAGTTTGGAGAAAATCAGAACCCAAATCTCTGTACTAACCCAAAACAGACTGGAAATTCCCCACTGTAAGAGATTCAGAATTCAGATCCAAATGTGAAATTTCTCAGATTTGAACCCATGTAGATTAAAATTATGATAAGAGCAGATTATCTAATCAGACTAGGAGCAGAAGCATTGCTGGGTCAACTTGGTCTGTCTGCACCGATCTAGTGAAGTCCCCAAACTTGCTAGCCTTGCTGAATTTCTGAGAATTGTAGAACCAGAGTGATCACATTAGGGGGAAAAAATGAAATTGATTCTTCTCATCTGTGCCAGTTTTTAAATCTTTCTGTCTTCTCATGAAAATAAAAAAGGTTATTTTACTCACAACGAGAGTGTGTGAGATCTGAATATTTATACAATGGCATGTGATATCTCAACCAGAAGTTGCTGAAAATGTTAACTACACACAAGCTAGGAAATCCTGGTGTTATTGGGATACTAGGAGGAGATGAAAATGATAAAAAAGAAAAGCTATGGACAATAGCAGACCCAGAAATGGGGGGGTTGGTCCCTGTCCCCATCCCCCCGCCCCCTCCTCCCCCCAC